AATCATCGTGATTCAGTTCTCCACGACGTGCGTAAGAACACACATATGTCGGAGCTAGAACGCGCGTCGGGCATACGAGGCTTATGTTAACGTTTCCGCGGAAAACGACACTCCGTCGTCGTTGATGTCGACCTCGAGATTAGAAGTTGCTTTCGCGCTCGTGTGCCGATAGAATCGCCGTGATTAGGCGCGCGTATCCTCGTGACGATCCCTCGTTCTCGGCTGTGCGTTCACGCGAGGTTGTACCTCGTTTCTGGTGTTTACAGCGCGACGCTCTTGTTCACGGTTTTTGTGCGAGCTTCACGAAGTGATCTGATCGACGGTGAGCCGCGAACGTGAAGAAGAAGAAGAAGAAGGAGACGAAGAGCGAGGTGTCGTCCGACGAAAATAAATAAATATCGCGCAAGGTTATAAATACGGTTGTCACGTGATATATCGGTAATATAAGGTGAGACGACGACGATGACGTCTCCCGGTCGTTTCGCATGGTGATGGCGATGAAGAGAGGAGACCACGTGCAAGTGGTGTACGATCGGGGAGTATTTTGTAATCTCGGCTAGATCGTCCGTCGTCGTACACGATGTTGAAACACACCAGCAGAACCGGACGACCTCGGGTCGTCGTGAGAAAACGAAAAGGACGCTCGTTATCCAGAAGCTGGCCCGGTACACCCAGAACTCTGTCCATCGTGTCGTCCGAGGTAACGAAAGACGGTTTTTTAAACTATAATTCAGCGACAATTCAATTCCTATATTTCACATTATAGTTGAATCTTTTCGCGACGCGCCGATTTTCGGCGCCTTCGGCGTGTCCTCTCCGGAATTCCTCCCAGCCCGGCGGGGACCTCGTTTAAATCTCCGCGCGATCGTTCTATCTCGTCCGACTCGCGCGTTACACGCGTGTGTGCGCACACGTGGACGTGACCCGCCCACGCGCGGGTTGAAAGTCCCACGCAGAGATTGAGCGCACACAATGCGGGAGAACGACGAGAGCGTATAATTGAGAGTATTATTTTCCGTTTGCGATCGCGGTTAACCGCTCGCGCAGAATGGACATCGCCGTCGTTGGCGTTTCAAAATATTATTTCCACTTCGCGCGCGCTCCGTTCTAATCGCACGGGAAAGACAATTCCGTCGTTTGTCATTGAATTTTCCGCTGGCCTTCCGAGGACCGGAACGAAAACTCCATTGTAACAGAAATATCCCTGTAGGGGGTTTCTACCCGATCAATTGCTCTCATTTGTCTCGACCGAGCTTTTAACGCGGCTGAAAATGTTCACATGAATGTTCTCAGTCGAGCGATGAGAAAGATATCACTTCTTGTCGCCGAATTTCCATTTCCTGTCACCGAGTTTTTACCTGGCCCCTCTGTCCGAAACGCGCCGATGATTTTTACGCTCGTTCATTTTCTCCTTGTACGCCTCGTATCATACGATTTATTTACGAAGGAGCGATAATTCCGCTTCATTGGAAACACCGTAGGCGATATGATAAGATATACATTAATTCAGCTGCAGGAAGAATGAAACCTTTCGTGATATTATTATTGTGTTATACGTATCGTTAGCGCACAAAAAAAAGTAACCATCGATCATGCCTCTCTTCAAGATGGCTCTCTTTTTTTTTGTTATTGTTAATATATCACGCTTTATATTGTACGCGGTGTATTTGCGAAGGAGCGATAATTCCATTTCCTTGGAAATACCGGAGGACACGATAAGATATGTTAATTCAGCTGCAGGAAGAACGAAATCTTTCGTAATACTATAGTGCCGTCATTGGCGCGCAAAATAGCAACTACCGATCGTCTTTTCAGAACGGAACGTGACTCATTTCTTTCTTTAATTACCGTTAATTTATTACACGTGCGAGATGCGATTAGTACGAAAGAGAAAAATGGGCCATACAAAATCCGACATAATGCGATCGATTTATTGGACCGAATGCGGCCTCGGATGTGGTGTAATTAAATGAAGCGCCGTGAAGCATTTACGCGAATGATTCGTTGTTGGCGTATCAACGCAACGCAAACGTAATTGTTTACAATTCAATCGTTACGTCAGGAAAACGCATTCTGCATCGCCTGTTTATGCCTTGCGTCACGATTGCGTTCCGCTTCCCATCGTTGGTATCGCGCGTTAGTATCGCGTGTGTTTTAATCGGGTTTAAAGTGCGGAGGTGAGGAGCTAATCGTAACGTATTGTACCCGGCTGTACAGCCGTCGATGTAACATTCTTCCGTTGCGTAATGATATTCTTCATTGCCGTGGGATAATGTTTGCTCGTATCACGGATTCCTCCCCTCGAGAGAAATAAACTTCCCACGAATTCAGTCATCATTATTCGACGTTGATATTTGAAGAATCGAATGTCCGGGCGACCTTGATTTTTCTAACTGCACGTAAATGTCGCGGGTTTTATCGTTATCTGATTACTTGAACAAAAAGAACTCGTGAGTAATGCCTTTGTTATTTATCGCACGATACAACCGACAATACGTCGCGCTGCTCTTTGTGCCGACATACGTGCGAAATACACCCGCAAAATCAGAGCGTCGCCGTTGTTTCGCGATCGATCGATCCATCGATCGGTCGCCGATGGGAACTGAACTTTCATCCCGAAATTGGTCAAACATTCATCGTGACAATTGAATCACGAGGGAGCGGTCCCGTGAATGGCACGTATAACCAGCGTATCTACCGGAAGTCCGGCCTACGAGTTCCGGCCTGAAGCGCACTCGTCTCATTGTCTCTCTCTCTCTCTTTCTCTCTCATCTCTGTTCCTTTTTCGTTGCCGTTCGGCGACGAATGCGTCGCTGGCCTGTCAGCATAAAACGAGAAACAGTCGCGACGCGAAGGACGAAATATTGACGCAGCTGACATTGGTGCAAAGACGACTGCGATAATTAAAAGCCTGAAGCAACGAGTTTTATAAAAAAAAAAAAAAATAAATAAAAAATAACGTAGAAAAAAATTCGCGAAGCTTATTATTAATTAGGAAGACTGTTATTTCTCTGGAATTTTGTTCTTTCCGATAATGTATCGATAAACGATAACAATCGCTGCAAAATTTAATTTCGAATCAAAATTGCTTCGCGTTAAAAGTTACCCTCATTTCACTTTCACATTGTAAGTAACACACACACACACATATACCGTAGTAAATACGTTCTAATGGAATTCAACTTGTTGCATCGCGAGCGCTGTTAGCAAAATTGGCTCTACATCGTGCACTTAATCTTGCTTTTAAATTTATCACGGATACCATCTGCTCTGCGTCTCATCGCCGCATGCTATTTTTCATGCATATCCACATCTTGTAAAATTTCGGACGATCCGATACTGTGTAATTTACCGTCAGTTTATAACATCGATCGCAACCTCGCAATTAACCGAGTTGAATGCTTCAAGTTGAACAAGTGTACTTATTTTTTACCCTTGACTGAATATCGTGTTCTCAAATTAAAATGAAGTATTATCATAAAGATGCATTTTTACGTTGTTGAAGTTTGGAACGATTTTCGAGTGGCAATTAAAAATAATTCCTTTCTCAAAGGAAACTTCGATACAAAAGCAAACATATGCAAAAAAAACCATGAAATTACGTTGCAGCTGACAATCATCAGATAAATAAACAGCAAAGAGTGAAAAATATTAGAAATATAGACATTTCATGTTATTAAACGAAAATATTAGCGCGATGTGCTAAGAAATGACGATATATTAAAAATCCCTCGAGAATATCATAAATTAGGAAAAAGAATGCCCGTTCTACATTCAAAGAGAATGTAATCATCTCGTCTATTCATTTCTCATTATCTCGCGTAGCCTCGGTGAATTCATGTTGAACTTGGGACGGAGGAAGTAATTTAATTGTCGCATCTCTTTTGTTTTTGAACATTAAGGGGATACTTAAGGTGTCGTAATTGTTTCGGGCCGCGCTACACACAAAGTGGAAAAGTAACGCAGCTGCAGAGTGCATTCAGAGCATCCGCAGGTGGCGCCGTGCCAGATTACATTATCAGTGCAACGAGCGTCCGTAGGGTGTGATAACAGGCGCCTCATTGCGCGGGACTTATTCTCCCTGTGTAAATCATGAGCGTGATACTTCGTCCAGCTGTTTAAGCTTCGGCCCGTGTATACGTTTATTAGCGCGAGTACACAGTGCTCCAAATTATAAGTAATAGTCAACCTGGAGTATCGCCCAGCCACATCGGATTCTGTCATTATTCCGAATGATGCATGGAGTACTAGCTGTAATCTACGGATTGTCCGATGGGGGTTTCCTAGCGCGGCTGTGCTGCCACTGCCAGATGTACAGGGACACAGATATACAATGAAACAGATAGACAGTGTATACAGGAAGACGTCTATCCCTTCTAGAATATCGTCTCCGTTCCCGCTTCATCCCGATTAACTTACAGTGCACACACACACACACACACACACACAGCCATTCGTAAGAAAATATTAATAGATTCTGAATTTTGCGACTGAGAAGGCGGAAGTTTCCACGAATTAAATTCGACGACAAAGATAACCAGACATCGTGCTTTAATCAATTTTAACACGAACAAAGCTAGTTTCATTTCTAACTTACCATTTGACGAGATTTTTAATTGTCCTTCTGTCAGCCGAATACTCGATACTGAAGATTCTGAGGGATCGCGAGAAGGCTTATTGCAATTTTCTCTTTTCGGAAATATACGAAAGAGATTGATAAAGTCTGCAGATCGAGAGAGACCTCGTCGAGAGTTATCTGCTCCGGTTATGTGGGACGAGTCGGTTGGGCGCGAGACCTCCGACGGTATCGCGTCGCGCTCCCAGCAAATTGACATCGGCATCATTACCCGACGATCGTTGGGACGTTTTATTATAAACAACGCGCGCGCGATCGCTTCCTCTGAGAGCGAGATCGATAAGTTACACATGCGCCGTATATAATATATATTTATAGTTCACTTATCAGCCTATTATAAACTGTAACAACGTGTCTTTCGCAGATCGACTACCCGGAAGTGCATGGCGGAGGAAGGATGCATCGGCCACCGCACCCCCATCCCATAACCGACCACCGTCAGGTCAACCTGGTCTTCGATGACACGGTGAATATATCTCTTTTTCTCGCTCACCTGAGCAAACAGCGCATAGCGTCCGAGTACAAGCGACCTGCGGGACGAGCGCTTCGACGGCGCTTCCTCCGTACATCTCGGATAGGCGCGCTTTCAATGATCCGCGAATAATCGTTGCGATAATTCCGTGATAATTTTCCGCCGCGATGAAAGTTCGTAGAAGACAGACCGCGTCACCCGAGAGACGGTGCCGTAAGCGCGATCGTCTTTCCCTTTACCTCTCTTTACTTCCGGTACGTTTACCCCGCCGTGACACGTATTTTATCTCCTTTCCTTCGAGCCCGACACAATTATCTTCCCATCAAAATCAATACCGGTGTCGTGTCGTCGGATGACGTATCGAGTCGCGAACGGTATCAATCCGCCCGACGTGTGTCTTTCCGTGTGTAAACGCACACGTAAACGCTGCGGCCGACCCGCGAATCGTCCCGATAATCGAAATTCCGCTTAAACTCCGGCGTGTGCGATCGCGTGCGCAAACGGAGCACGCGATTGCCGGTTCCGGCCGGGCGAGAGAGAAGCTGAATGGGAGAAGCAATTTGGAAAGTGTGCGCGGCGCGGGACAAAAGGAAAAGTGAGACACGGCCACGACATAACGGATCGTATAAATCATCCGCCGGGTCGGCCAGTGGCCTTTGAGCGGTTACTATCCGTTGCTGGATGCTTTGAGCGGACCAGCGATGATGGCTCCCTCTTTCTCTCTCTCTCTCTTTCCTACGCCTCTATCTCCATCTGCCTGTCTACTCTCTCTCTCTCTCTCTCTCTCTTCTCTCCCTCTCTCTATCTCTCTCGGTGTGTCTGTATCCCTCTCGTCTGGTTCTTCCGTCTCTCACTCCGCCGCGACGATCGACCGTCCGTCGACTCCTTAAGCGCATTTCACACGATCACCGTGTCCCGACAGTGGCTCTCCACAAAAGGCCCCTTTAAGATCAATTCAGGTGTCGTTTATCGGCGTCAATTTACGTCACGTCGCTTCATTATTCCGCATGGCGATTAACTAATCGCCAAGGCTGATGAATATTAATCGCGGGAGCACCAGGCGCGTTCTTTCCCGACCGGTCCCGAGCCTGTTTTACAATGTTCTTATGACATTACGCACTGTTGTCGTCGTCATCGTCGTCAATCGAGCGTTCCTCGGTCTCGACATTACGCGTGGGCATGCAAATCGAAGCAGCCCCGTTACGTTATCAGGCGTTATCATTTATTTTTAATCCTCTCTATTCTTGCCGTGGCTCCTCACCGTTATGAGATTGTCAATCGAAAGACCGACTTCCTTCAAAGTCTGATTGAATGAATCGACTCAGTGCCAACGTGGAAAATAAAAGACAGTTTGTTGTTAAATCAAGCAAGAAATTCTTGTATCTTTTCAAAAAAATCTGTGTTTTAAAATTGCTATTAGTTAAGTTTTATGTACGTAACTCTGTTCTATTCTGCTAACATATACAGAATTATCAATTTCTCGATTATTGTTAGAAGACAAATTATAGTTGGAAATTGTTGTTGGCAATTCTGTCAATTATAATCGTCGATTGAATTGATTTGGGTTTGGAGAGTCATTTTAAGCAGAATGATTATCATTTGATCGTTCATCGAATATTCCTTCCGTTCGATCTTTCCCTTTTTACATATCGTAGTCATTAATTGTCAATGGTCGAAATTTTGCGACCCAATTGAATACGATCCCATAATTTCATTGAAAAGAAATCGTTATATTTAACGAGTCATGCCGGACCAGCATGACGGTGATGCGCATATGACACTTGGAAGAATTCAAGCGTGGGAGAGTTTTAGGAACCTCGCAGACCATTATTAGCCCGCTTTCCGACGCAGTGTTACGCGTGAAATAAATCTGTAATTATTCATAATCACTCATCGTCAAATCTCCTCCAAATATCATCAAGCTGACGCGCCTCCCACGCATCAGTTGGCGTTGTGCCGCGCTCTTTGAGTTCCCGGTTTCCCAGCCGGTAAATTGCGGCCGACCCCTTTTTCTCAGCCTCCTCGAGTTCCCGATCGCGAGCATTAATAATCTAATTGCCCAGATCGTTATCGCGTAATTTTCGCTCCGTTTTTAACCTTTGTTTACTATGCTTCTATTTGCGTACCGCGAGTATCGCGACCGGGTCGCTCCTAACAATGGCATCGTATATATATTATGCTAATGAGCCGGGATGCAGATTTCTCCCTGTCTTTATAACGGTTAAATAACCTGGCCGTGAATGTCGAGGATAATAAGGTCTCAGTAGGAAATTACTTTCCATCTATACTTGTTCATCAGTCGCGCGGTCTAAAAATCACCACCGATAGAGACACATGTGTCCAGTGTAACGAAATTCAATTGAATTCCGAGCCAATACCGTTGTATGGACAGTGAAATTTCATTAAAGCCCTAGTCGACATTCATATCGTTTCTACGAACGAAATGTAATCGAATCTCTAATTGCTCCTGAATCAAATTTCAGTATCAGTATCGTCCGACCTATTTTCCATTCATTTCCCCTTCGACAGGCTGCGATCCTGTTTCTCACAATATCAGAATTCACGACCTAACATTTTTATCCGATCAAATTTACGACCACACAAAGAACGAGATGTAATCAAGATTTAATTGGATACTCGATACAAGATCAATATGGGAATTCTTCGTAAAGCCTGTCACGATAGAGATCTCACCTTCGATTTCTCGGAAAAGCTCGTCCCGTCCCGCTCTGATCTCTCCCTAGGCTCGTAACCGGAGCTGGTTCTCGAAACGGAAGAGATCCGGGAGCACCTTCGAAAAAACGCGGCATCGCGCGCGCGGAAGCTACAGGTGGCCCGGCGTCGCCCCCCCCCGGCGCCCCCCATTGACACGGGCCTGAGGAGTCGCTCTCGCAGAGGTCACGTGACCACTCTCGAAGGGAATGCCAGCGGCAGCGCGGTCGAGGGTGGCGGTGGGACGGGAGGCGGTACGCAGGCGGCAGTCCTATGTCCGCTAAGCTGACGGCCGGCCGCGACGACGACGATACAACACAGGGACGGCGGGCGGACGGACAAGCGTGTCACGATTTTCGCGTTGATCCGTGCTAAGAGGGTCACGCGGCGCCGCGTCGCGTGGCTGCGCGAGAGTGTCGTGTCCGTACGCGGGAGGAAAACCGGGCGAGGCGGAAACGCGTAGGAAAATGCGGACGTCCGTGACCGGTTCACCGTGATCGTGTCGCCGTTCCGAGGAGAAAGACAGGGCCGCCGACACGATGGACGCGTTCGGCATGTACCAAGTGAGTGCCTCTGCTGCCGGAGATGCTCAAAATGGCCTTGGCTCTCTCCGTCTCTCTCTCTCTCTCTCTCACCCTCGTTTTCTCCTCTCCGTATCTCCACTGTATCTCTCCCTTTCGCTCGTGGATGCTCCACGGGAAAATTACTCCCGGAGATACGGGGGCGTAGGCGGTCGCCTCTCGTGATGACATGACAGGCGTCATAGGTGTTTTGTTTGGATGGGTGATGCGTCGGATGTACGAATGCATGCGCGTAGCACCCATGCTCCCGATGCTCCGCATGCATGCGTGCCTGCGTACGTGCGTGTGCCCGATGTCATGTCGCTGCGACCTAACCTAACCGCCGACCGGAGCCTGTTCCAATCACGCCCATTCCTGGTATTTCCTACTCCGCGCGCGCGGCGTCGATGATGTTTTTGCTCTCGTCGCCTGAAGCGACACAGGTCGTCTCCGACGGCAACCTCGTCGCGAGTATTCCTCTCGCAGATCGCACTCGTGAATTCTGACTTATCGTTAAGACCAGTTTTGAACACGTTAAAATCCGATTATGCGGTGATATTGTCTGAACAGGCTTTCGGATTATCACGTCGCTATGTTCTGTTTTGTAATTATATTTCTGCGTTATTTGCGTGGAGGAGAGAGAGAGAGAGACTTGAGAGAGGTCTGTTCTTTTTCGCTGAACTGACTGCACCGCTAACCTTGTACCAGTTCCCTTTTCTTTCTTCCACCAAGTCTTAACAGTATATCTGTCTCTTTAAATTTTACAAGTGTACAATAGTTGAACAAAAAAGGACAGACCTGAGGTTTCTTTGCTTTTTTACTGAACTAGTGCCACGCTGAAACTTTCTTCTTCTTCTCCTCAACGCTAAGTTGTACACTTGTTTCACTCCAGAAGCAAAAAGTGCAACCAAAAAGAACAGATATCTTTGCTTCCCTCTCTGTGATGATAAATTTTCCATCAGAAGATTCGACACGAGAGATTTCCAAGTAGTAGATTTGCGAATTGAAGCCCGACTCGAATAGTTGAAATAAGCTTCATAAGAAATCGTGCGGCAATGCTAAATGACTGACGATGAAATGTTTCTTTCCACAGTTCTCACAGGGCCTGACAGGGCGGCCCGAACTATATCAGAAATCAAACAGGAGTAGTCATTCGAGTGACACGAGTTCAGCGTACAGTGGATCCGACACCATGACGTCTGTACAAAGTTCATTAGACGCAGACCCCGACGAGGTGGACCTCTCGGGTCTCGTAGAGTCGATCGTTGACAGCGACGAGGAGGAGGATCTGGCAGAGAGTATGGACGTGAGTATCGCGCTATTCAGTAGTCTCTCGCGGCATATTCGCGCACTCTCTAATTTCGGCCGTTGCAATTGCACTTTCAGAGTCTGACAGTCCGCGACCCCGTGCGAGAGTGTTTGGAGAAGGACCCGGTGGAGAGAACGGAGGACGACATAGAGACGCTTCTGGAGTTCACGCAACAGCTGAAGGCTTTCACCAACATGACCCTGGCCGTGAGAAGAGCGCTGTGCGCGGTGATGGTGTTCGCAGTCGTCGAGCGCGCCGGTATGGTGGTTTTGAACGACGGTGAGGAGCTCGACAGTTGGAGCGTGCTGATCAACGGCGCGGTCGAGGTCGAGCACAGCAACGGCGAGATCGAGCAGCTCAGCCTCGGCGACAGCTTCGGCATCTTGCCCACCATGGAGAGGCTGCTGCACCGCGGAGTCATGCGAACAAAGTGCGACGACTGCCAGTTCGTTTGCGTCACGCAGGCGGACTACTTCCGGATCCAACATCAGGGTGAGGAGAACACCAGGCGACACGAGGAGAACGGCAGGGTGATTCTCGTGACCGAGTTGCGGGGGGCCTTGGACGGCGCCGCGCGAAGAGGCCACGTGGTGATCCGCGGCACTCCGGAGCGCTTGATGTTACAGCTCATCGAGGAGAACAGTATTACGGATCCGACTTACGTGGAGGACTTCCTATTGACTCATCGAACGTTCATCGACAGCCCGTTGCTGGTCGCGAGTCAATTGCTGGAGTGGTTCGACCAGGCGCAGGTGCGAGATCGCGTGGCCCGCGTCGTGCTGCTGTGGGTGAACAATCATTTCACCGACTTCGAGACTGACCCGTCGATGATGGAGTTCCTGGAGGCGTTCGAGGCCGGACTCGAGCGGGAGAAGATGCAGGGCCAACAGAGGCTGCTGAACATCGCGTGCGCGGCGAAAGCGAGGACGCGGAACGTGACGCTCGCCAGGCCGAACAGGGACGAGGTGCTGAACTTCAGTATCTTGGGTGGCTTCGAGAGGGGCTTCGGCATATTCATCTCGAAGGTCGACAAGAGATCCAAGGCTGAGGACGTCGGTCTCAAGAGGGGCGATCAGATCCTGGAGGTGAACGGACAAAGCTTCGAGCACGTGAACCAAGCGAAGGCCCTCGACATTCTCCGAGCCTCCACGCATCTCAGCATCACCGTCAAGTCCAACCTGCTCGCGTTCAAGGAGATGCTCCAAGTGCCGGACAATTCGCCTCGAGCGCGCGGCAGGGCGAGCAAGCCGGAGATACCCAGGCTGCCGTCGGACCCGCGAGCCAGGCTGTCGACGCACGTCGACCCCATGACCCCCGTGAATCCGTTGAACCCCTTGATCGGCGGTGTGCCGTTGCTGATACCCGACAACAACGTCTCGCCGTGCAAAGACGCGAAGAAGGAGCACAAGGGATTCATGACTCTCGGACCGAAGCGACGGCTGCAGAAGGCGCTCATGAAGATGAATATATTACCAAAGAACACGATCAACGACGGCGTGCACGTGGACGATCCGCTGGCGCCACCGCACACGCCACCGGGCACCGGGCTCTCGCAGACCACCACGAATCTCTACCACTCGAAGAGCAACCCGGACCTCACGTCGCTCTATTGCTACGACGACCTGAGGGCGAACGATTATCCCGAGCACGTGCTCAAGGTGTACAAAGCCGACCAAACCTGCAAGTACCTACTCATCCACAAGGAGACCACGGCGCACGAGGTGGTGATGCTCGCGCTTCAAGAGTTCGGCATCACGGAGAGCAGCTCGAACTTCTCTCTGGCGGAGGTGAGCGTCGGCGAAGGCGGTATGATCAAGCAGCGCAGGTTGCCGGACCAACTGCAGAATCTCGCGGAGCGGATCGGACTGAGCTCCCGGTATTACCTGAAGACCAACGGGATTTCGGAGACTCTGGTGGCCGACGAGCAAGCCCCGGAGCTTATTCGGGAGTCGCAGGTGCATTTTCTGCAGTTGAACGCGGTGGAGGTGGCGATACAGCTGACTCTGCAGGATTTTAGTATATTCAGGTGATTGCTCGATAAGGATTTTAGCGTATTCGTTCGAACGATACTTCTGTAAGTTTGCTGATTGTATGCAGGGGGAGGCAGCAATTATTTTAACCACTTTCAATGTCTTCGAGAAACAAAAATATCTTAATAATTACTAGAATATGAAGATAAATGAAGAGTTTTGCAGAAAGTGTTCGGTGCAGTTTCTGTTAGAGACGAATTTTCTCCTACTCCCATCTTTTAAAGATATTCAAAACAGTGCCTCGCTCGAATGTGCGGAAAGGTGAATTGCTCGTTCATCATACATGTAATTAGCACGCAAAATTCATTCTTATATATTTTGTTTCAGGCAAATCGAGTCCACGGAGTATGTGGATGATTTGTTCGAGCTGAAGAGCAGGTATGGCGTGCCTATGCTCAGTCAGTTCGCGGAACTAGTCAACAGAGAGATGTTCTGGGTCGTGACGGAGGTTTGTTCCGAACACAATCTCGTGCGGCGCAGTAAGATTATAAAGCAATTTATTAAAATAGCACGTAAGTATTCTTCCCGTGCTTCTTTTTCGTCGTTACTTCGTCGTTACTCTTGTAACGTTTCCGTCGTGTCTCCGCAGGTCAATGCAAAGAATGCAAGAACTTCAACTCTATGTTCGCGATCGTGTCCGGCCTGGGTCATGGCGCGGTCTCGAGATTGAGAGCGTCGTGGGAAAAACTGCCAACTAAATATCAAAGATTGTTCAGTGATCTGCAGGAGTTGATGGATCCCAGTCGCAATATGAGCAAGTACCGGCAACTGGTGGCGTCGGAACAAACGCAGCCACCGATAGTGAGTCTGCCTTTCGTAACTACCGCGACATCTATGACGCTTGTCGACGTTTCACATTTTACGAGAACTTATATACCTGTAATTCGAGTGCGAAATTATAGCTGCCTTTCGAAGCATTTATTATTATTAGACGAATGTGTGAGATTCTATGCACTATATACGTTTCAGATACCTTTTTATCCAGTCGTAAAGAAGGACTTGACCTTCATACATCTTGGCAACGATTCGAGGGTGGAAGGTTTGGTGAACTTCGAGAAGCTCCGAATGATCGCGAAGGAGGTGAGAACGCTAACGAACATGTGCTCTTCGCCCTACGATCTACTGACCATGTTAGAAAGGGGCGGGCAACCGCCGAGTTCCGCGATGGTCGCTCTCAATCAAATGACCACCGGCAATCAAGGTGAATCTCTCGCACCGCTCACCGTTATCTCCGATTAGTTTTATTCAGTTTAGCCGGCACATCCGTAATATTCCGCCTTGCAGGCGGCCAAACTGCGACGGTGAAGCGACGGAAGAAATCGACCGCCGCGCCGAACCCGAAGAAAATGTTCGAGGAGGCGCAAATGGTGCGACGAGTAAAGGCCTACCTTGCGAACATGAAAGTCATCACTGACGAGGAACGACTGCATCAGCTCTCCGTCGATTGCGAGCCCCATGCAGGAGCTGTTGCAGTCGCTGCCGCGGTACCGCTAGGCGGCAGCAGGGGTAGGAGGCATCCGTCGCCTACTCTATCGACCACCAGCAGTGCCAGTAGCACCAGTGAAGGCAGGAAGAGTATACAAGGTTGGCTAAATTACCGTTAATTGTGCCTTGTTCTTAATATATTTATTCTACACATATGTCTACTTGTATTTTTTAAGAGAATGTTCTTGAGTAATACGGTCGGTCGCGGGTTTTCAGGTACCAAATTCGGTGCTGCGTCGCCACAAGCGGTGAGGAAGATGCTAGCCCTGTCGGATCCTCACAAGACGCGGCCGTACCAACCTAAACACTGTCCCCCGCCGTTACCAGTACCTGGATTGGCGTTACATTCGAGCGGTTTGGAGCCTAGTCCAGGTGCGCCTAGAAGAGTAGGATCCGGTAGCAGGGTACCGATGCATGAACGATCCCACAGCGACACCCCTGCTAGCCTACCACCGCCCGTCGATCTCAGTGCGGAGAGTAGCAGCGTAACTAGCTTAAGCAATCTCCAGCCGCTGAGGAAAACCTTGACGAGCGGTGAGTACGGATGTATCGTTACGAATTGGTTTGAAGCGAGATGCTGTCCGTTACAACGACGTTCCGGAAGTCCATTCAGACGGGTCGACATTCAGTCTGTAACGTACAAGAATAATTGCTTGACGATTCATCACGTAATCATTCGACGTGTCTTTCTGTTTTATCGTACAACCTTGGGACAGTGATGTGTTGTGTGGCTCGGTGCCATCATTGGCATCACTGACTGTGAGTAAGAATTATACGATTCGGGCCCATTATTTACTCTTAAAATAAGTGGTCTAAAATCAGGGATATACGAATTCGTAGATCTGTTGTGAAGAGAAAATAACGTCCAAATCCACAGATTATCAGACCCGTTATTCTTGGAAATCAGTTTCAAAAATCTTTGCTACCATCTACCATTGTACCTATTCAGGAATTGAGTTGAACACATTCATGCATTTATGATTCATTTTAAATATATATCATATCTGAAAAGATACAATTTTATTACCGATGCACGCCCCTGAAATTACACAGATGGGCGATATCGCACCGGTATCGTGTGAAAAGATCGTTCCGTCTGAATCGGCTTCGGGGTCGGAAGTTGTATTATTTTACTTCAACAGCTTTTCACACTTTAACTCTCTAGATCGTATTGGACATCAATAGATTGTGAAATCGACTAAATATTAATCTAGTAGACACGCATCTCGCGACGCACCATTCACGCACCTTCATTGCTCGTTACGTACACACACTGGTCAGGTCTCGCAACAAGGAATCTCATTATTATGCACGCTGCACCGCCGTTTTACGCAATTCATAAATGTTCCATGTTATTTAGTTGATCCATATATATACACACGCACAACGTACCTGTATACACACACATACACACACATGTACACACGTACACGCATCTTGTTACGCCGATTACTGTAGCGCGAGCTTTTCTTTTCGATCAGACGATCACGAACACCTCGTACCTAATCCCAGAACCAAGCGCGGCTTCGACTCGGAGAGCTCTCACACCATGGGACATACGGAGTCGTTAAAAATAACCCTATCGACAGAGAGAACGTTTTCCCGAGTACGGAGATATGTCGTCGAGGTACCCGACGACCTTACGGTGTTCCAACGCGAAGATAATGTGCAGCCTCGATAGTCGAAGTTTAGACATGTCCGGATAATGATTTTCCTTTAATATTCCCCGGTGTATCATGGGAATCGACAGATAGCCCTGGTTACGATCCCAATGCGACATTCGAAACGTACTCGACGTCGATCGCACCTTGCCTGCGGTAGTAGAATGCGAAAATTTGCGGAAGAAAGGGCAGGTAGCGTAATCTTAACGCGATTCGAAGTGATCAGCGACGCAAACCTAGCTTTTACGTCCCTCGTTAGTTAGTTCGACTTCGAGTGTGAGTGTGAAAGAAAGAAAGAGAGAGAGAAAGAGAGACGGATTGCGAATGGACGCGTTAGAGGAAAAATAGGGCAGGCTAGAGAGAGAAAGAAAGAGGAGATTAACGTTAGATCCGCGAGCGTAGACGATAGAGCGATGTTTAGCGATCTCGCGTCAGGGCGGAAATCCCGGCTGGAACGTGTAGTGATAGAAGTGTCTTGGGGACGTGTGCGTAGGTTCGGTGACGAGCAGTGACAGTGGTCATAGCACTCAGCTGGACAGCCACAGCGGGAGCAGCGTGGAAGCGGGCGGCAGCCCACCGCCACCGCAAAGACGGCACTCCGCTATGCAAGGTACGTAACACATCACCAACAAGCAACTGAGAGTTGAAACGAGAGAGAGCGAGAGATTATGGCCAAGTGTGCTCGTGCTATCACTCCTCTTTGCCCGATCCGTAGACCATAGTAGTTGAGTAGAGACAGTAGTTCGTCTTCCGACGCGCGACGTAATCCGGAGAGAGATCGAGCCTCTCTCGCGACGGATAAAGAGAAGCCGGGAGTGTAGTCCTCGCGAATATCACGTTTATCACTCTCTTCTTCACACCCATTCGCTGTGCGATTTGCGTGTTTTACGTCAGTCTTGTTTTTGTGGGTTCTCTCCCCCCTTTTTTTTCCAATTTTTTTCTTGCATTGTCTGTCCGTCCTTCTCACACGTTGCCAGACGGTTACGGTTGTTCGTGTTCGTCGTTTTGTGTTCGGTGAATAGTGCTGTTAATTGTGTCGACTAAGGGCGGCGTTTGCAGCCGGGTCTTGTATTCAAGAACGTCTTAAGTTCGTCTTCAGATGCTGTACGGATCGTTTAACGGCTGTAGAACATCTGAAGATGAACTCGAGGCGATCTTGAATATGAAGCAGGACTGTGAATGCCGGTCGGGAGACTCGGTCGACGAGCTCGGTGGAGTCCGGATTCTCGATGCCGCGGTAGACACGCGGAAATGATTGCCCACACTGAGGAGAAAATACTTAAAAAACAAAAAAGTACTCATTCGATGAGTACTAATCACATTTACTCGCGTCTAAATTCTTTTGCTTAAATATATCAAACATTTATATTTTCTCATCTGAAAGAAGAATTTCTCCGTATAAAAACGTGGATATCAGTATAAATAAATGTATTTTTAATATACGTCGAATATTTTTTACACATTTTTCTTCTCTCGATGTAGCGTCAAAACTCAAGTCGACCGAAATCGTCGATTCTCCAGTCTCACCGACTCGTATCCGCTCCGCGCTCGAACTTTTTCGAATCACTCGCGATTTATCGCGGATGTGCGTTCTCGTCGGCGCGTTTCGTTCGACATTTATTATTTCTACCTGTCCTACTTTTTCCGTCCACCATTTCGCCGGGCCGCTGGCCAAACTGTATCGCTGAGAGAAACGTATGTCCCATGGCCATTTACCCTCGAGCGCTAATCGAATCGCTGTAAATATCCACGAGCGTGTGTAAATAATTAAGTATCACTATATAGCTGCAGATCTGAACAGAACACGCGCCGTACGCTTTTGTTGGCGATTTTTTCTTTCTTTTTTTTTTTTTTTACATATCCACGTGGTCGAGCACCGCCGCTGCGTCTGGCATAACAAAGCTGTGCTTCCAACCGCTTTCTCTTTAAGGGTCCGCCGCTTCTGTAAAGTTCGCTTCTCACAGCTTGCGTCACGATCGAATCGCGTTGCTCGCGCGACGCTCTTTCTCGGGAAGAGACACACCGTGCATCAAGCCCGAGCGATATCGCGCGGATATCATTCGCTCTCCCCGGGTGGGATTACTTCTGCTCGGCTTTTCCCGGCGCATTCTTTAGAGAAGAAAGCGTTGACACGAAGATAAAGGAAATATCGTATGTGGCCTCTGTATGGTGCAGGGTCTGTTATGAGGGGCGGAGTGCCTCCTCCGTTTCCTCACGCGGTAGCAGTGTTACCTCCGCTTCCCGCCAATCAGAATCACAACCACAATCATCACCACCACCACCACCACCATCACCACCACCACAACCAACAACATTATCACGATCATCATCATCATCACCACCAACCCCCGACTCCTCAAGGTGAGTCCGCGACTGTCTCTCTGCCTGTTTTCATCCATCTTGCATCTTCGAGCCTTGCACATTGAGTCTCTCACGCCGCTTTGAGGGAAGGAATTTCCCGACTCATGACTGAACACCACCGCTATGTTGAGCATTGCAGTGTGTGTGATGACGATGCATGCGAGATTTGCGCGCGATGTAACGGAAAATGATTGGAGTGTTGCGAACGATTGGTGGACGATATTAGACTGTAGATATTAATCCTGGCCGTCGTCTCTTTCGCAGCATCTTTACACAGCTTGTTATTTGGGCCCGTTGGACACCGGGGGTGTGTGTGCTTTCCGGTAATATTTTCAGCTGTCTTGAAGGCTCTGCCGCGACACGTTCGTTATCGTTCGTGTCGTTGCTAGTTAACACGTTGACTGCCACGCGGGTCATCGGCTGGCGGCGCTGCAATATCTCGTTCCAATTTATATCTGAAGCGTAATTGCATGTGACAGATTAGATATCAGGGATACCCGTGAGACGTCAAATATAAAAAAAATATTATATATATATATATATATATATNATAAAAGTATTATAAATATTAAAATACTTCATAGTTGCCTATAGACTTTCAGATGTGTTTCGTTGAAATGGAAATGCCTGATTATTTACGGACACCGCTAATATATGCAGCCAACAGAGAGAACGAGCTCATGAATATATGCATCGCGAAATTCATTTATTTAGCCGTATTTGCTTGATTATTCGAACTTTACCTGAGCATTGGAATAATCAATGAAAATTAACGTGGCCAGTCAATGTGTTAACGGACGAACGAGTGTTGCACGCTGGCGGCAACAACAACAACGTTTTAGTATTCACTCGTTCGCTTCTCTCCCGGACATTCTGACCTAGAAGCGCAACACGCGCGCTCTGCTGCATTTTTTGCGCGCGTGTGCGTGTCCTACGGCATTAACGGAGATAACTGAGCGTTCCTTTCCAGGGTACTAACTGCGCGAAATACGGTATATTATGCTTCTTTCCTCTCTTGGGCGAGGTTTTGCGGCGAGCATAGTCGGCCGAATGCGGTTTTCATCTTAGAACTCGTCTGCCCGTCGCGGATCTCGGCGGGTTGTTGTTAACCGAGCGCGATTGCCTTTTGCTTCGTTCATCTTACCCGGTGATCTTGTTGCTCGTTGTTGCGACTTTTCTTCTTCCACGTTGCATTCGCGAGAAGGGGGGATGTGAAAAGGAGGAAGGAAAGTCAAACAACAACACGGGTGTAAGGACAACGCGACGATGAAAACGGCGCGTTGCAAAGTTTTGAGGAAAGTACCAAGTTGAAAAGTTCTCTCGCGGGGTACATACTTTTCAGAGTACATGTTGCAAGCAGGATGTATCTCAGCATTCTGTCGAGAATACGCGACCGTAATTATTTTAATGAAAAGTCGCCCGCGTTTACCGCGATGGCAGCGAATCGCTTTCGCCGGCGGTTGATGACGACGAGGAGCGAGAGAGCGGAGGAGGAGGAGGAGGGCTGTGAGAGAGAAAGAGAGATGGAGTGAGTCGAGGGTTTTCAGGTTCTACGGGATTAGGAGGAGTAAACATGGGCCTAGGGATGCCAGCCCCGCTGCCGCCGCCCGGAGCGGGCACCACGACGATAATGACGACGATGAGCACCATGGCGGCGGGCAACATCTCGTCGATCACAACGATGCGACCCGGCATGAGTAGCGGGCCGCAGTGCCGTCAACCACCGGCGTACAAAGTCGCGCAACAGATGGCGAGATTGCACAGACTCGGTCGTGCTAACAGCCACGAGGGGGTCACTTATCGCACCGATCACGAAGATGGTACTACATGTAACCAAATCGCTACCGTTCACACAGCTCACACACCACCACAATCATCTCACGTTCACACACCACTGTTCGGTTTACGCTCGTTGAGGCTTACGCTCCCGTTGTTAACGTTCACGCACGGCGAAGAGTGTTGATTCTTTCTTTACAGCTCTCTCATCACCATCCCCGAGAGTACCTAAGGTCCCGGGCGAGCGTTGCGCTCTCTCGCTATGATCGGAGCATTCTTTCATTCTTCACCGGAACGTTTTTCACCGTGCGTGCGATCGGCTGGGCCGTCTATTCTTTCGATACGTAGTATTCCCCGGTTAGTTTAGCCCCTCTTCTTTCGAGGTGATCTTACCCACCTCCGGAAGAATGACGGCAGCAACAATCAAGATGGCATCGTGAATCTTCGCAAACGTAATCTCGAACACCAACCTTGCACACGATCGTGAACACAGCGACATTGTTATTAACAATTGCCGGTCGGAGAGAAGCTGGTTATCACATGCCTATTGTAAATACGTGTTGTTTACGTGTAAATTAACGAGGCGTCTGTATACGACTGTATATGGAGAGCTTGCGAATTGAATCTCTGTGATCATCGTATGTGTGTGTTTAGTGACGCACCCATTTAGCATTAGTCGTGGTAATAAGCATCCCGCGATGCATCTCGATATTTTTCACCGCATCAAGTGCATCGAGTCAATATTTGTGTTACTAGTCATCGCATTCACACAATGGCTGGTTGCCCGTCATTATTGTCGAATTTTGGCGCGTTGTACGGTGTGTATGCCGGATTTTAAGCGGTCTGCCCCGTGATTATTTATTTACCATATGCGTGATGCCGAGGCATGGATTCTTGCTTGCTTGCATTACTTGTCGCACGTGATCATCCCCTTGCCATCCATTTTTGTCGTTCGCATCTTGGGATTATTCCCGAGAGATAGAGTGAGAGAGAGGGAGAGAGTGAGAAAGGGAGAGAGAAAGACTTCTAGAACCGGCTCGTTTTCAAGAGTAATTAGACCTTTTTTCTTCTTCTCTCGAGCCGGAGAAACGTACCACGGTGCGGTTTCTCTTTTATTAGGCATCGCATTAAAACGAGAGACTCTAACCTAAGTAAGATTATAGCAGAATAAGTATAAACTGTACATAAGCCGCTTTCTCTAGCATCCAGCGCATGGAATCTCTTTTTACCTTTTTTTCTCTTTTTTTTTTTCCATTACGTTACAATAGCTTCTGATTTTCCCGTTATTCTCTGCCGTACGACCCTCCCACTTAGAGATACTTTAGAGATCACACGTTCCTTTTTTTTTTTTTTCGATCTTACTATTACGCTCCATTTGCCGAAACGCTCATACTCGTCGAATCAAGCGCGCGGGGAATGCACGCGCGAATTTCGCTCATCCGAATTGCATAGAGTCCCTCGCGCTTAGATCGCCGCGCGCGCTCCGAAACGTGTCATTCACTAAAAGGCCATTCTGAAATGTTGCAGATGACGAAGACGCCCAAGTGTCGGCGGTCTAAGCGGTCCACACACACAGACACACAGTTACGCCGAATCTGTCTCGGTTCACCCGTTTAGTTAATTTCGTCAGAACCGTTTCGTTCGCACGGTCGGGGACGGGCGGCGAGGAGGGGAATCGTTTCTTCTCCCTTTCCGGCGTGCGCGCCGCCCACGTCACGTCACGTAAACACCGAAAACGCGAACACAGGGTGGAGGACAAGGGCGACACGCGCGCGAATTTTCCCCCTCCAACGTCGCGGGAACTCCGAGTTCTCGTTCTCCGCGCGTCCATCACGGCGGTAGCGTTTTCCCATTATCCCGACGGTGCGTGTGTGCGTGTTTAATGATCGTTGCACACCACGTCGATCATCACTATCACCGTCACCGCCGTCGTCGTCGTCATCGTCGTCACCACCGCCACTCTGTGTCCCTTTGCTCTCCATGAGCCGCGCGGGCCAATTTTTCGCGTGGGCGAAACCCACTTTCTCCTCAACGCCGCCGAGAAAGAGGCGTCTTTTTTTATTCTTATTTCTACGCAGAGAGCGCTTGTCTTCCAATAGCCCCCCCCTCACTCACTCACCCGCCCACCCAGCCCCGCGACGAACACACGACGGCACCGTCGAGAATCTCAAGCGTCGAGGAAGAAGTATTTGTACAGCGCGTACCGTTCAACCGGCACTGGATGGAAAGCGACGAGCGACCGGCGAACCCGGCCGGTCTGAAGACGAGGAAAAGACGGTAGGAGGGTTATTTCGTTGTTTTCTCTCTCTTTTCTTTTTTTCCCCTTTTTTTTCTTATCAGACTGAGGGAACAGTTCTCGGGTATAATACAGGCGCGTTTCGCGCGAGCTCTCGCGGGACGACGAGGAGCGAGGTCGAATAGGAGCGAAGAGCGATATAAAAAAAAAAAATAGGAAAGCGTTCGTAATATTCTCTATAAATGTGTAATAAAACCGAGTCCAAAGATGTTATATATATACATATATATATTATATACTGCGTGTCCGCGCCAGAGAAAGTACGAACGACGGCGTATCCTGTAATATATAATTGATAGGCTAACACACTTAGCGTGTGCGCCCCACGTAGTAGAGCGTAAGTTGGTGTAAATAGCGTAGTGTTACATAGCGTTTAGCGAGCAGCAGCAGCAGAAACAGCAACAGCGATGGCGGCGGCGGTGGCAGGAGGGACGACGAGAGACCAGGTATTCAAAGGAAAAGTAACGCGGAACGCTCGAATGCGATCCAACTCTCTCGTGCCCAACGCCGAAATAGCGTTTCCATCCTCCCCCTCCCCGAAATCGCGTAGATTTGAGAAGAGTAAGAGAAAAAAGAAACAAAGAAATGGACTTTCGCCTCTTTGTCGATATGAAAAATGGAGGCGCACGTACAATTGTTTTTAGACTTCGTCTTTGCGTTACGCGTTGAACAGTTCCGATTCATTTTTTTAAGCGCCTTGTTTTTTTATTTTTGCTCGTCACTTTCGTTCAGATTCACGGGCGATTCAAATTTTACGAGGGAAGCTGACGGTTATACGCTTTTTTCGTTACCGAATTTTAACATAATCTGGCGCTAAGATTCATCTCTCGCTGAGGAGGAGGAGGAGGAGGAGGAGGAGGAGGTTACGATCGAGACAGTTGCTTTTCCTTTTCGTAACGGCGCGAATTCTCCGAAGACGCGCGTTTACGTGTCACTGTAAACTGTATTCTGCGATCAAATCGTTTTTACGGAACACGATAACGAATTTTTAACTCGCAAGTAAGTTATTTTCCCCTCCTTTCAGTCTCAATGTTTAGTTCGATACTTTGCGCGACGTTGTCATCAGGTTAATATTCCTCGTTATCTTTTATCGATATCTCGATACTCTTAGTTTTTACTTGTGTTATCCGCGATGCGCGACGGAAACTTCTTCAGGTCGTATCTCTTAGAATCCGAGGGCAAGGACAAAGGAAGAGATCAAGTTCTTCGCTACTTCATATGTCGATGCGAGAGAGAAGCGATTTTATTATCGTAGGTTTATTCATGTATATTGTATACACTTTGCTTCAACATTTGGCTTGGACATTTGGCTTCCCGATGCAGTTTGGTTAGTAACCGATAGTCCAATAAGAGAGTTTAATCAGAGAAACAAAGAAACAATAAGTCAATTATTCGGGCTCTCGGAAGTACAATGAATAATTCTTAGAGAAATCTGAAATTTAAGATACCCTATATGGTTATTTCTTCATAGATTAAGTGGGTTTCGCAACTTGCCTCGGCTCTTACCGACTTTTTCGTCCCCAGTTGGTTAATAAAAAACAAAGCCTTTGGACCATCGGCTATGTTTCAAACTGCGTCGAGAAAAATATCCAAACCACATTGGAACCAAGTGTGCGCCCACACTCAGACACACGCGTGCGTATATACGCAGGTACACGCTCTTGTCCGCTTACATGAGACTCGAGTCCTTCTACAAGTATTAAAAAAAAAAAACTATAATTCGCGTGCATGATATGTATCGACGCGTTAGCAAAGAGGGCCTAATTACCCAGGCACCGTTTTTGCGATTGCCAAGTATGTGGAGAGAGAGAGAGACAGAGAGCGCGCGAGAGAGCTAGAATAAGGGAGAATGAGAGGGTATGAATGTGCACGAGTATGCATGAAAATGTGAGAGAGAAAGCGAGGGAGAAAGAGTATCGGGGGTCAACACAGTACTTCTCTGGATACTCGGATCTCTACTATTAATTACATTCCAAACTTTGTCCTGCCGCGTTTACAACCCCGCGACATGCCTTCTACGTTATTTAACTGCCGCAAAAAAAGAAGCGAGATCAACGCGTTCAACGAACGTTCGTTCGATGAAAGTTCGCTCAACGAACTGCCGTCTAGGTGTCATCGTTATATCACCCCCCTCCCCCTTTCTCTCCTCTCGACTGTTTACCTCGTTTCCTTTTTATCATGAAAAAGACCAATCTCGAAATCCACGAAGACTGTGTTACTCTTCGACGTAGTTAGTATCCAGTGATCCCGAAGGAGCGGGAGGGAATGTCATCCAGTCCTCGGTCCTTCGGGACGGAGACCCAACAATATATTTACTTCGTATTCACATTATATCTCTTTGTACATATCCTAACGATCTTCGAATATTAATATCCAACGTTCTCGAGGAAATTTTTAAGCGTATCTACCAGATAATTAAGGTTCTTCGTAATGCAGCATCAAAAAAGTAAAAAGAGACCGAATCGTTTTCTTTTCCTTTCTTTCGGTTCCGACGCAAAAATCGATTTTTATCTTTTACATTTTGTTATTTCTCTTACCCCCTTCGCCGACTTGAGTCGTACCGTAGGCGCACCAGGCTCTACGTCATTCCATGTTCACGCATTTATGACTTCTCGGACGGAGTGTCGGAGAATTTTTAACGAGGATTCTGGATTCTCTGTGAACTTTTTTTTTATCCGTTACGTTCGCTACACTCGCGTGGCTCCAAGAGTCTTTCAATGCGCGAAAAGTCTCCAATAAGACGATAAATTTTCTAACGTGAATATCGTGCGTGATTTTCCTGCAGATTCTCTCACGCGTGACCGCAAGACAATCCGCGCGCGTGACTCGACCAGGATTCTCGGTGGAAATTCGAATTTTACCGTGTGCCGTGTAATTTTAGCGATACAACAATTTAACGTCGAATCAAGAGAGTCTGGGCGCGTCAGTTAAAAAATTCGGCTCTCTTCCCTCATGGAAATTTAAAAAGAGAGAAACGACGTTTTGCGCGGCTCGTGAGAAGAAACAGTACAATGTACGGCCACGCGCGCCGCGAGAATATTCACTGTTCGGCGAGTGCAAGACGGACCCGCACCTTCCTCCACTCTCACCGTCTCTTCCTTTCTTTTCCTTTTTTTTTTATTTATATACATATATTACTACGCCTCGTTCTCTGTTGTTTTAATTATTTATAACCCCGAGATATTCGACTATAACGCGTATACAACAACAGAAAATCTTTTGTATTTAATTTGTTTAATAAAACTTGGATCATAGTACAACAACGTGTCCCGCCTGTTGTCTTTTTAAGTTTTCGCATCGTCGACCCCATCCCGCAACAACGTGATCCACCTTCCCACGCTTATTTATTGACGATTTTACAACACAGTACAAAGGCTAATACTTGGACAAAATTTTTCAAGGTATATATATATTATATATATATATATATATATAATATACATATATACATGTATACAGGCTATTTTTAGCGTGAAATGGCTCTGTCGCACGTCTCGAGAGGTACGAGTGGGGAGGCATCACGAGAGAGAGAGAGAGAGAGAGAGAGACAAGGACGTTTGTATTTTTGAAAAGAGAAACACGCTATTTTGGTCGCCGTTACAGCTATCAGAGAAAGACGAAGACCCGCGTACAACAGATATCACGAGGACCCATAAAGAGACGCGCGCGTGCTGATTTCTTAGACGTTCCTGCGGACTTTTCTTGCGCTTCTCCGGTACTCGGGAACTTGTCTCTTAACGAAACGAGGATGCACTTCCCTTGTGGACACCACCGGTCCGTCTCCACCCTCGATATATACATATGTATATTTTGAAAGATGCGATTGTGTCACTTTACGCCCTGTATCGCGACTTTGTACATACGTACGTAAGGGACCGAGTTTCCAATCTCTGAGTTTCGACTTTCGTTCCTATCGATGAGCTCTATCTACGCGCGCTACGTACGGTATTTTCCTTTTTATCGGTACGGTAACTAGTAAGTGCACATCGAATTTTCGAATTAATCGTCTTTCGACACATTTGTTTCACGGAGCGAAGAGCCGCGATGTTCGCGCTTTCTCGAGATCGAACAAAGCGGCGCTGTCTGGGCGGTCTCATTCGCGGGCGGTACTCGCGGATACCACGGGGTGTTGTTCGGGTGATAGCATCCGAATAACCGGAGCGTATGCGCGAAAACGGGTGATATAACGGGCTGCCGGATATATATGTAGTGAAGGAGAGAGAGAGAGGGAGAAGAGGTAGAAAGAGACACTCTCCAGCCGGGTGCATAATGATAGCACTAACACAAAGGACCACGAAGTTGATTAATTTCTCTAGCCGCGAATGCGTTTGTTCTCGGGGTCTCGAGCACCTCGACGAGTACGCCGGCGATTACACGGCGAAGTATTACCGTGCGTAGCGGATGATCTGTTGGAACGAAATTGATAGTGATACTACTGCTACTATTTTGTACGATACAATGTTTTGTATATCTGTCTACCGTGTGTGTAGAAGCGGAGTCTACCGATTATATTGTAAGTGGTGAGAAAAAGAATACTATCGAATGCATATACATATATATATATATATATATTTAAGATTTATCATTTGTAGATTTACAACGCGGCTCGACTGCACCCGCGAGGGGTCACGCGCATAGATGTTACAGTCTCATTTAATGTACACCTGTAAATCCCTCCCAGCAAACAATATATGAACAATTAAAGGATTGGTAAAGAATCAGCGAGAAATTCATTCACCTCCCTCGTGACGAGAATACGCGTAGAACGTTTTAATTTCGGATTAATATTACCGATTCTTTTACATAGCGAGAGAAGTATATAGCAAGAGAAGCGGTTCTATCCACAAATGATTCACGAATCATACGGCGTTAACGCAAAACAGCAAATCACATGGAGGTGAAAATGTAATGAGCAGGAGTTTAATCGACGAATCGATCAATAAAATAAGAAAAACGAGATCATTGATCTCATTTTTTGACGAAAGAAAAAAAAAAGATTTTTATATCAAGTCTTTTGGATGAATGAATTTAACTTATTTTTCGAGACTTTTTGTAGAAAAATTTAATCAGCACGATGAAAAATAAAATAAACATTTTGCCGAGCCTTAATGAAAACAAACCGATGAGAAAAGTTCACTCAAGGTTATTAAATTTGCATGCGCATGTGCGCCTGCGGAAAATAAACGACTGGTTAGACGAATTCTGTTGGATGAATAAAATAATGAATATAATCTTGTCGGCCCCGTCGAAGAATGATTATCATAAAATTACGCGTTGGCTGCAAGAGAAATGTTTCACGCATAGAAACACGATGGTAATGAGAAAAATATCATGCGACGTGAATAGCAAGAAAGACGTTCGTGCGGCTACCACATGGTAGCGGTTGACGCGCACCTGTTGCTTTAGACAGGAACCAACTGACAGTGAAGGGTTAGTCGGCTCACTTACGCGTAAAATTGTGACTTCTCCGCGACTTACGTCGCACGCAGCGTTTCGTCCTTTGTAAAACGAACCAGTTTCAACATCGCTGCGTGCGAAATCGAACTATTCGGCGGACTCGGCGACGTCTTCTCCGTTCCACTCGTCGCGCGAGTATTTTATAAATCGACTCGCTCCGCCGGAACGGCGCACCGTGGAATTCTACGACGCGGAGGAAGAAGAAGAAGAGGAAGAAAAGAAAACGTCGCCGAGCGGACGGGCCGAGTGGTGTTGGATTATCGCGCGAGTTTCGCCGGCGATCTCGATCCACGAGGATCATAGATCCTCGCCGGGTATCCCTTCCCGCGCGGATCTCACAGCAGCACGACGACGGTGGACTACCTCTCCACCTCTCCTGCCGTCGTCGTTTCGCCATTTCCCTCTCTCTGCGGCGAGCCGATGCACGATGCAGGGGAGAAAGAAACACCGCCTTCCGACCGGCACGTAGTTGTTCGAAAACCGCTCTTACCTGCGCCGAGTGTGCGCTCGGTTTATCGTTCCGTCCGGTACTCCGCCGATCGCGGGAGACCTCGAGAGACCGGCGGAGATCGCCACCACGAGATTCCGAAGGGAGAAACGATCGAGCGGGGAAATCGGCGAGATCGCCGGGGATGCGATTTCCGCGATATTATCTGCCGATTCGCGCGAACATGAGCGTCGATCGGGCGCTCGATCGTTAAGGAATTACCGCGTTAGTTTCTGCTTTCCGCGAGAGTGAACGAAGATTTCGCGCGGGAGAAGATCCGCGGGATTCTCTCCCTTTCGCGACGCTGATGGATTACACTGTGGGTTCAAGTGTGCACGGTGACTGCGGTGTATCATCTATAAGTGCAGCTGTGCGCGATTAGTTCGGCTGCGTCGTCATCGTCTGTCAGCGCACCGATCGATGCAAATTGCAGGGAGCGAGCCGATCGATGGATCCTTGAGAGATATCGACGATCAGTCGGTTGGAGCACTGGATCCTCTCAGTCACACGTGACCACACGTGTGGTCTCGTGCCTCGGGCAGTGCGGCGACTGGAAGAGAGTAACGTCCAGAACGGACGTCTACCTGGGGGATCGGCGACGGTTTAACGAGAGAGACGAGAGTTAATTTGGGATCAGCGAGATCTCGGCGGAGAGGCGCGATTCAGCCTCTCCGGGAGATCCCGAGAGTGCTCTCGCCGGAGCGTAATCCCGCCTTAATCCCCGTGAATGATTCGACAAGAAGGGGAGAGGGAGAGAGAGCAGTTGGTCCCTTTATCCCTGCGGTGCGCGATACCGCGACCGGTATCCATTGCAATCTCCTCGACGATCGTCCGTCATTGAGAGATTCTCCTCGTTACCGAAGCCGAGCTTTTGTTAGCGCGCCGAGAGGGAGAGACTTCTTCGCGGCGAAGGACGCGCGATAGACAAAGACGGGGAGAGAGTACGATCTCGAGTGTGCGATTCGACGGGTGGAAGTCGCCTGTTCATCCGTCGCCTTGATCGCCGTACTCCGGGAGTCAAGCTTCAAGGGACTTCCCGCGCTGCTCGAAGGTCGTCAGTGCGAACTTCCTTCACACGCGCTCCCAGACGCGCCGACAGCCGCCCTCGCGTGCATTCCGAAGGCCGCTTCCGGAGATCGCGGGATCCAGACTCCTCGCTCGCTGCTCCATTTAATCCTCGCGGACCCAACGCTCCTTCCGTTATCTTCGGCTTTCTATCGTCGAGCACTTGTTCCGAGTTGTCACTCGAGCCGGCCAGGCCGCGTCCACGGTGTGTCCAGATCGCCGAGAATCTCTCCGAGGTGCCAACAAGGGTCAGCGCGGAGGAGAGCGTCGCTGTGCGAGCGTGTGAACTTTCGTCGATCGTCGGCCCCGGGGATCGACTTCCGACGTGATTCATCGAGGCCGCCGCTTGAGCGGGTCAGGGACGAGGAAGAAGAAGGTGGATAACTCGGCTTCAGGTCGATGCACGGCAGCCTGGATTTCCGCGCCATTTACCGCGACGGGGCTTCTCTCTCGGGCTCGCTCGCTATCATCCTCCGTCGTCGCGACGGCGATAACGATTCGCGTCGAGCCGCGATAACGACCGGAGCGCAGTTTATCGCTGAGAAAGAGAGAAAGGAAAAGAGAGGGAAAGAAAGAGAGCGTGTGTGTGTCGGTGGAAGGTGAGCGAGATACGTGACCGAAATCGATTGTCGCGATCGAGACGCCCGTCACGGCGCGAGCGACACGCCGTGAGATTTCTCGAGAGACTTTCCAAGTGCGGAAATTCTCTCTCTTTCTCTCTCTCTCTCTCTCACACGCATACACACTCTCTCTCCGTGCGCGATATAACAGATTGCGTCAATAAGCGTCCCGCGAATTGCTCGCGCCAACCTGCGGGAGAGACGAGACTTCGAGAGAGCGAGGACACGAAAGACTCCTGGTGACTCGTGACTGACGTTGGATTTTGTTGTTCGTCGTTGATCATCGAGTTCTGACAGTGAGCCTGTCCCGGGTTGACTCGTGCGGGAACAAAGGATCGTTTGCAAAAAGCGACGGGACTTTTTACCCTTCTTACGCCCGAAGGAGAAAAGAGACACTCTCTTTGTGTGTGTGTGTGTGTGTGTGTGCGGAGTTAGCCGAGGATCATTAGAGCCGGTGTATTATTGTGATATACGACGTGCGTCGCTCGGACGAAAGGCTCCGAGCGCGAAGATACCTTTATTATCTATCGAACGGCGATAACGTCACGCGCTCGCGCTGACAGGTCATTGTCGATTACTCGCGCGCGCGCGAGCACTTATTAAGCGCTCACTCGCGGGAGCTTCGTTAAAA